CTTTTGCTGTTACAACTATATCAAGACATTATAACGATGATGTGACAGTAGCTGTGATAGACAAAAATGCTGCGGTTTAAAATGCGACAACGTTGTCGCAGACGTTTTATAGCTTCATGTGCTACTTGGGGTAAGCCACAATTTCTGCATTGTTTACATAACGTAAACTTATAGCAATTTAGTAAAATTAACCTCCAAAGCAATGTTTTGGAACGTAGCCTAGGTCTATAAACAAAAATGCTATTAGATATTAGTACCTCTTTTTCTGCTTACAGATGCTGCATTGAAATTTTGAATTTGATGTAGTGACGTAATACTCAGCTTTAAGGATCTTCTTCTCCTTTGGATTTTCAACTTATATATGTAACTTGGAAGATTCATGCATAAGGACAACTTTTATCGCGTATATAATCACACATATTTATGTAATGACGCCTATTTACATATAAGATGTATCGACGTTATTCACTATGAAACGACGCGTTTAAAGATCCATCTACAAGGAGAGTAATAAGTTGTAAGCCGTAAGAAATTGACCACAGTCGAATATGAGAAGAATAATCGATTGTAATTGGTTCATTTCTTACGGCTTACGACTTACTATTCTCATTGTAAATGGACCTTAATTCAATCCAGTTTTTTAGGACACTTGATTAAAGCAAATGACAAAAAGAAAAACGTAGGCAGTAAGTAAATCGGTAAAGCCTATTCTTCAATAATTGTAAGCTGTAAAAATTAACCAATCGTATTCGATTATTCTTCTGATATTCGACTAAAATTAGTCAATTTTTACGGGTTATGGTTACCTATTGTAGAATAGGTTTAAGATTCATATACAATGAGAGTAGTAAGCCGTAAGAAATTGATTTTTCTTCTCGTATTCTACTCTGATTGTTCAATTTCTTACGGCTTACGACTTACTACTCTCATTGTAGATGGGCCTGTTACACCGTGGCTGGGGTGTAACGTGGGAAGGACTCGGTTTTGGTGGTTGTAGAATTGATGCACAGTATATCGTTTAACACATACACTATATTTACGTGTTACTTACAGATTGAATGACTGCGCGTGCCGACAGCGTAACGCTATGCGTTAATGATTGATGTGAACTCCGCAGTGGTCCGCTGGACGACGGGTTTTATCCCGTCTCAAGTGGGCCACTGCACTGCTCAGCAGTTGCAATTGTTGCTTAATTGCAACTGCCGCAGTTTTTGGAGGACGCGCGTATTGAGGCTGCCGAAGTCCTGCGTCGGCATCCTCAATTATTATGG